GAACCTTAGGGTTTCTTCATTTTGTTTTGATCTTTTTTCTGATTGATCCCTTTCTTAAGAAATATTGAGGTATTTGTCTTCAGTCTCACTAATTCTGTCTTCCATTGATTTGGTTCTACTCTTTTGCCTTTTCAAAGTGTTACCTATTTCTGAGAATTTTGTATTCATCTTCTGGATTTCTATGTGTAGATTTTGTATCATTTCTAATTTTTCATTTATTTTGTCATTTTGTCATATTGTCTTTTGAAATTGTTGTAGGGTTTTCTCTGTGTTTTCCTCAATTTCATCAGTGTTTTCCTTGATCTGTCTCTCAATCCATTGAAAGTACCTAAATATAATTCTTATTAATTCCTTGTCAGAGAGTACTGATGCTGCTCCTTCCTCAGGGATGTGTTCTGGGTCTGTATCCTGGTCCTTTGTTTCTTCTGCTTTATCTTGCTTCTTTGCGTGGACTGTGATGGTCTGTTGTCTTCAAGACATTGTGATGTTTTTGTTAATTATATTTAATTGGTGATTATATGTTGAAGTGACTTACCCACGATTTTCATTTTCTTTGTTTTGTTTGGATGCTATCTATGTAAGCAGGGTCCTGTGCTTCTCTGTTCACTAGTTGGCAGCACTTACATACTCACTACCTATCTCCTTTACCGTTGTCAGCCTCCTGTATATCTCTGCCATCCTTGACAAGTGGAGGCTATTCTTAGGTCCTTGGAATCCCAATGAGAATGCTATCACTTTAAATATCCAAAATGGCCACTGCTTGTAATCATTCAAAATAGCTGCACCCTTGGTCACTTTAAATATCCAAAGTGGCTGCCTCTGGTAAACAGCTGAAATGGCTGTGCCCTCCCAGACAGCTGAAAGTCTAGTACTCAGGTTGTCTCTCTTCTTGCTGTTTCCCTTCCTAGTTATAGGCTACCTGTGCAGTCATCACTGCAGTCCTTGGTGACCAGGCCTGATCTTTAGTTCAGTTCTCAGGTCCTAGTACCACTTGGAAGTATTCAGGCTGTTGGTGCCATCAGAGTAGCTGACAGTCTGCAGCTCTGTCAGTTTCTGTACTCACTGTTTTCATTCAGGTTTTTCCACTGGTTGGTGCCTAATCCACTTCTGTATACTTCCTTTCAAAGCTCAGGGCTCTAGGATTATCTTCTGTATCTCTTTCAGTTGGTTTCTCTTTTCTTTGTTGAAGAGGGTCTGTGTGGCTTGTCTGCCTACTCTGCCATCTTACTGGAAGTCCTGCTTGCAAGCTCTTAAGATCCCATTGCTACTCACCAAATATGGTGTGGAACAATGTTTTCGTGAAGTACGTTATGCCAGTTGAGCTTCATATCCCCTGGGAGCATGGTCCTGAGCCCACAGGTCCAACTACTCACTCCCTCTGGGTAGCTGGCTGTGGCCAAAAAGTTACCACAACCTTGCTCTTGCCAGCTAGCTCTTCTATACCTGGACATTCTTACAGAACATACAAATACACTTGTAGAAACATCATCTGCCAACCCTATACACGTCATGGGCACACTTCCCCTCTGCCTAGACATACTTGATCATTCAGCCTGTCTAACCATCTATCTACCCATAGATCAACATTTGCCATCACTGACAATGCAGTACTGTATGTATAATAGGGCTCATTTTTGTTGTTTATCTCCCATATTCCTCTCTGTGTCTTGCTCTTCCTCAGTACCACTGTGCTGATCCCTGACATTTGGTGCATTGCTGCTACCTTCACCCAAATCAGTAGTTCTAGCAGTGTTCCCTCCCTTCTCCTCCCACCCCTGGTAACCAACAAAGAAAGTTTCATTCCATATATAAACCTTTCCTTGACTTCACAATAGTGAACTAATACAACATTTGTCCTTCTGTGATTGACTTATTTCATTCAGCATAATGTCTTCCAAATTCATCCATATTATGGGGTGTTTTGCAGATTATATGTTACTTTTTTTAAAAAAAAAATTTTTTGTGATCTGAGTGAAAGTTTACAGAGCATATTCACTTTCTATACAGGAGCTCACATACACTTTGTCTCATGACATTGCCTGCAATTTCCCACAATGCAACAGCTCCCCTCCCACTTCCTCCCCATAGTTACCTCTTCCCTGTGTCCTTCTCTCCCATGCACTCCTGCCCCTCAAGCTATCTTGTGTGCATACATAGCCCTTCTGTTTTCCCATGATTGATCTCTCCAAGGAGTGTATCTACCTAATGTAAATGTTCAGGTCATATACCTGTCTTTTGTTTGGCTGGAAGCCACAGGAGTGGGTTCAATTCCAGACCTTAAGGGCAGCTAGGGGCTATAGTCTCAGTGGTTCCATTGGGCTCTATCAGACCAGCAAACTTGGTCCTTTTTTTTTTTTTAGTGATTTTGAGTTTTGTTCCACATTGTTCTCCCATTTTGTCCAGGATCTCCTACATAGATCCCTCTCTGAGTAGTTGACAGTGGTAGCTGGGCACCATCTATTTCTTCTGGTCTTGTGGTCATATAGGCTGAGGATTGCATGGTTCTGCCAGTCCCTTGGACTAATGGTTTCCATGCATCTTTGGGTTTCTTCATTCTTTTTTGCTCTGGATGTTGAAAGACCCATTGTTACATCTAGATGGCCACTTGCAAACTTTTAAGGTCCCAGTCATTACTTGCCAAAGTAGTATGTGGAACAGTGTTTTTGTGTAGTATGTTATGTCAATTGAGTTTGATATCCCCTGTGACTATAGTCCTGAGCCCACAGGTTCAGCTATTTGCTTCCTCTGGGTGGGTAGCTGGCTGTGGCCAAGAAATCACCACCACCTTGTCCCTTGTCAGCTCTACTGTATACCTGGAAATTCTTACAGAACATACAAATACACTCTTAGAAACATTGTCTGCCAGTCCTGTACATGGTCATGAGCATGCTCCCCTCTGCATAGACATACCTAATAGTTCAGCCTGTCCACCCATCTATCCACACATAGATCATTGTTTGCCTTCACTGACAATGCAGTACTGTGTGTGTGAAAGGGTTCATCTTTGTTGTCCGTGCCTCCCATGCACCTCTCTATATCTTTCTCATCCTCAGTGCCACTGTGTTGATCATTCACATTTGGTACATTGCCCTTCTCTTCACCCCAATCAGTACTGATCTCTACCTAACTAATAGTGTTCCCTCCCCTCCTCTCTCACTGATGGTAACCAACAAAGAAAAATTTCTTCCATACATAAACCTTTCCTTGACTTTTTACAATAACAGACTAACAATATTTGTCCTTCTGTGATTGACTTATTTTATTCAGCATAATGTCACCCAAGTTCATCCACATTATGTGGTGTTTTGCTGATTCTATGTTATTCTTTAGGGTTGCGTAGTATTCCATTGTGTGTATGTACCATAGTTTGGTTATCTGTTTTTCTGTTGATGGGCTCTTCGGTTGTTTCCATCTTTTTGCTATTGTAAATAGTGCTGTGATGAACATGGGTGTGCATGTATCTGTTCTTGTCATGGCTTTCACTTCTTCAGGATATATAGCTAGTAATGGAATGGCTAGATCAAATGGTATTTCTAATTCCAACTTTTTATGGAATTGCCATACTGCTTTGCACAGTGGTTGTTTTATTTTACAGTTCCACCAGCAGTGTGTGAGAGTCCCAATCTCTCCACATCCTCGCCAGCATTTGTTATTTTCTGTCTTGTTGAACTTTGCTACTAGTGCTGGGGCAAGATGGCATCTTGTTGTTTTGATTTGCATCTCTCTAAAGGCTAATGATTAAGAGCATTTCTTCATGTGTTTGCTGCCTGCCTGAATCAGATTCTGCATTATTCAATGATCATGAACATTTCTTCATGTGTTTGTTAGTTGCCTGAATATCCTCTTTGGTGAAAGTGTCTATTCATGCCTTCTGCCCATGTTTTAATTGGATTTTTTATCTTTTTGTTGTTGAAGTGTTGGAGCGTTCTTGAAATTTTAGAGATAAGTCCCTTATCAGATATGTTGTTGCCGAATATTTTTTCCCATTCTGTAGGTTCTCTTTTTACTTTGTTCAGTACCATTGATTCTTAATCAGATGTTACCTCTTGAAATGTTTGAACATTGACTAAGTCTTTTTGGTATAGTAACTGTATGTTCCTTCTATCTTCTTTTGATGCTCTCTGTGTCACTCAGTATTTTGCCCCTAGAATCTTTCAGTATTACAACTTGAGGCTTTAATTTTTTCTTCAGTTCTTTCTGCTTGAAAATGCTGAGTGTGTTCTTCCCTTTAGGTTTCTTAACTGCAGAACATTTCTTTATAATACTTTGTTGTCTTGAGCCACCCTTTGAAATCTTCTTTTCAGACCTTTATTTCATTATTTCTTCAATTCACTTTAGGTGCTCTTATGTTCAAGAACAAGTTTCAGACTCTTCTGACATCCATTGTTTGTCTTTCTTTTTATGTGACCTATTGCTTTTTTCATTTATGATTAATGTAGCTCAGTGTTTTTGAGATGTTTTTGACTATGACACTCAATAAAAATATATGTTTAATTATAATTTATTGTATACATACACCCACAGGTACACATATATTGTGCATATATGCAGACTAGTTTGTACCAGCTGCATATGGCTATATAGATACATGTGTGTATGTATATATATGTATTTGTGTGTGTATAAGAGATTAGTATTTTGCAAAGCAATACAGTATTTACCTGTTTTATGTGTGAGGTATTAAATGCTGGATGGTACTCACTGAAATGACGTAATGAGCCACTAATTAGAAATATCCTATATTTTGAAGAACATTGATTTAAGGTCATTAAGGCATCAAATTGCAAATGATATTTTGTAAGAAGTATTGGGAAAATGTTATTTTTTGGTCCTTACTAAAATTGTGTAAATCATTTCCGCATTTAAAATGAATTCCTCTTTTGCTCAGGTCTATATTATAACTATTCCTATGTAATTTTATATAACATTTTAGTTTCTTGTGTATTTAATGCTGATTTCTATCCTACTCATCCCCCTTACCCTTTTCTCACCTCTTACAGTAACAGAAATGTGGAGATCAATGAAGAAGAATTGACTGGTTGCCTTCTGAGAAAACTAGGTGAGATGTCTATTTAAAGTTCTTTTATTAATTTTTGAGGAGTAACGCAGTAGTAAAAAATTGTTTTTGAAATCTTACATATATATGTTACTTTCCTTTAAAATAGCTTAGAATATTCCCTTCAATAAATTAATAGCCTTGTGAGATAAGTGTGTGTTATTGTTCTCCACTAATGATTGGCAGGGGAGAAGTGGAGAGACTTAACTTGTTTATAGACATTGTCAGTGGCAAAACTGAGGCCTTTAACTCTCAAGCTTTTGCTCTAGTGAGAAGCACTATTTTGAAGTGCTGCTTGGTGTGCCATTTTAAGTTAGTTAATTATCAAATAGGGGATTCTTGAGGATTTGTTGGTATGCTTGATCAGCAAGCATATATCTGTGGGGATAGAGGATCTCAAAAATCATCTTGTCTGTCTTCTTTTTTTTTCTATTTAGTGCTTTATCATAGTCGAATTGAGTATTAGATCCTCTATTTTTTCCTGATAGTTACTTTACAATATTTATAATACTCCATCTTTGCTTTAGAATTTTTAGTCTTTTTAGTCAAATAGTTTTGTTGACAGGTTAAATTATTATTGAAAACATTAAACTTGTGAAAAATTGTGCTTATATATATTTTTTTTTTCCTAACATATATATTTAATAAATTATTTTCTAGATGGCAAGATTATTTTACCAGGCAACTTTCTGTACTGTACATTCTATGGAAGACCATGCAAGTTGCAAGTGTTACGAGTAAAAGGGACAGATGGCATGATACTGGGATGGCCTCAGAGTGACTGTGATACTGGCACCCAGGGAATGGTTTTTGCACAGTCCAGCATGGATGCCAGTAGTCTGGATATGTCCTTACAGCTAAGCCGGTTAGGTCTGGAAGATCCCCGGGATCCGGCATCAAGCAGTACTCCTTGCAAACCAATAGATGACAAAATTATAAATAATGCTGATACCATTTTGTTGGATATTGCACAGAGTCCTGGGGAACAGAGTGGACTTGGGCTAGAGGAAGACACTTGTCTTAAATGTAGTTTTGAGTCTGTCGGAGAAGGAAATATACAACTTACCAATGAAGAGAGATTGCTAAAGTCAGCCAATATGGGAGCAAAATTGAACACTGATAATTTTTATTTTATTTCTTCAACAACAAGAGTCAATTTTATAAAGATCCATCCAAATACAAAAGAGCAAGACAAGCAATTCAAAATAACTTATGACATGATAGGAGGCTTGAATAGTCAGCTGAAAGCAATTAGAGAAATAATTGAATTGCCTCTCAAACAGCCTGAACTTTTCAAGAGTTATGGTATGATTTCTTTGGTTTATTGCATGCGAAAGTGTTATATTCCAACTGAAAAGCCGTTGGCCAATTTCACCTAACCTAATGAATATTCCCCACCTTTCCTCTTTTTATGTCTTGAGGGGTAGGTGTGGTAGAAAGTGTCACTTGCTTGTGAGAAACCAATTAAGAGAAGCATTTTCTGTACTTCATTCTCTAAATTGTGATGTGAGTTAGTGACAAGGATGTCATGGTTGTTTGGATTGGATATAAAATTAGTATCTTGTCATGCTAGATCAGCTGTAATGATTACATAAATAAACCAAACATTCAAATATATTGGATAAAACATCATTGTTAGGAAATGCAGCTGTATACAGATAACTTTGTATTGAGACAAATAGTTAAGGGTGTGACTTCTTGGCTACTAGGAAACTTAGAGCTTCGTCTGCAGGGTTACTGCCCAGATTTTCTGGGTTTATTTGGTGCATGCTATTCTTTCATCTGCTTTTTCTTTTTACATGGATCTTTATATATGTGTGTATGTATATATCAGTCCAATAGATAGATGTGTGTGCATATGTATATGTGTGTGTGGATATGGATATATGTATATACCCATATCCATATATAAGTATATATACATGTATGTATATAAATGACAGACCTTTGCATTCACATTTTGCTATTAGTGCTTATACTTGCCAAGATTCTTCATTGAAAGAAAGCTGAGATTATGGCTTGTTTTTAGCTGTCCGTGTTGTGTGGACTTTGTTTTCTGCTTATTGAACTGTGCTGTGTGGATGGGGCGTGGCAACAATGTGTATGTCCATCTGGTGTTTTATTAGTTAGGTGTCTACAAAGTGAATTGCTTTGGGATCATTGCTTGGGATCAGTGTTTGGGCTAGTTAGTATATCTTTTTTTTGGGGTGGGGGAAGTCTGACTCTTGCCTTTGTTTTATGGCTCTTGGTGAATACACACTCTATAGCTTATGTTTGAAGTCATATGACAATACTTGCAATGCTGGATACAACCTTCTGTTCTTACAGGAATTCCTGCCCCTAGAGGAGTATTACTCTATGGTCCTCCAGGTACTGGAAAGACAATGATTGCCAGGGCTGTTGCTAATGAAGTTGGAGCCTATGTTTCTGTAATTAATGGTCCTGAAATTATCAGCAAGTAGGTACATTATTTAATAGACTAAATCTAACATTGTTAAATATACATCTTAAAAATTACTGCATGGTAACTGTCTGGATATTTCATTTACTGAAATATTTTAAATTTGCTTTTTTGTCCTTAAATTTTATTTATTTTGTTATTATTGAGAATATACATAGCAAAACATAACAGCAATCCAACATGGACAATTCAGTGACATTGAGTACATCTGAGTTATGCACCTATTCTCACTCTTCTTTTCTGAGTTGTTCTTACCCATAAACTCACTGCCCCCTAAAGTTCTTCTCTAATCTTTTAAGTTCCTGGTATCATTTTGATCCCATATAGATAGATTTTGAAAGAGCATTATGTTCAAGGCAGACCATTTTTTTGTAGTTAAGCTAAACTGTTGTTAGGTTTTAAGACTACTTTAGGAAATATTTTTGATTCAAGGTTTAAAGATTGTCTCAGGGCAATAGTTTTGTAAGTTCATTTACACTCCATGCTTGTAGAAAGTCTTGTTTCCTGGAGAATTTGAAATTGTGTTCTACATTTTCCCCTTTTGATCAAGATTCTTCTATTTTTGATCAAAATATTCATGGTAGCTGGCATTATCCAATTCTTGTCTCATGGCAGTGGAAGAAGTTGTTCATGGAGGTAGTTGGCCATGTATTCCATTTCTTCCTCTTATTCCTGGCTTTCCTCCTTCTGTTGTTCTAGGTTAATAGAGACGAATTTTTGTGTCTTGGGTGTTGCCTTGCAATCTTTTAAGACCCCAGGCAGTATGTAACAAACAGATCAGAAGCACTAAATATGATATTAGGCCAGTTAAGTGGGATGTTGCATGACACTGAAGTTCCTTGTTAGTGTATATAAAATTACGTTTGGAAAATAATTTTTGAAAGTAATTTTAAGAATGCTGGAAATATTTGAGAAGATAGATACAGACAAAACTTTTTATAGACAAAGCTTTAAATATAATAATAATAACTGGTCCTTAAATGTATTTTATTTGTTACAGATTTTATGGTGAGACTGAAGCAAAGTTACGTCAGATATTTGCTGAAGCCACTCTGCGGTATACTCCTTTATATTTAGATTTTTTAGAATTAATAGTCAAAGCTGTTTTAATCAAAGTAGACAGTAGATTATACAAAGCATAAAAGAATAGTATAAAATAATAGTGATAGCCACACGGATAGATGGTAGATTTAATGAAATTCTGATTTAAGTCTAATATTATTTTGGAAGTCTCATAAATAAGCTGTTACATTACTTAGAATAGAAGAATTAAAACAAAGTGTTGTTTGGTAAGTCATTGGATCTTGCTTGAACATAGAAATTTATGATTTTCCTTTTTTAATGGAGTAGGGAGGAGGTATTTCTAGCTTATATCCATAGGGCGCTAAAGCTGTTCCAAAGGGACATCTCTAGCCTAAGCTTCTGAATTGATTTAGTTCTTAATAATTTAGTAGGCACTGGTGGGCAAGTTTTGTCTGCGGGGATAGATTGTCATCTCATGGGCAGTAGATGGTTGTCAGTACACTGTCTTCTTATTGAAGGTAGACTCTACTAGGATGTGAGATTAGTGAGTTACAGATTTGAACTAGAATTAATCTAAGGTTTTGCAGCTTAATATTCTATTGCCTTTATCTTTAATAACCTTAAGGGAATCTTAAATTTGATGTGTTCTATTTCAGTTGAAAATTTGGAATTAAGTGATATTTTAAATTAAATGTAAGTTAGAAAATATATTTTACTTGTTTGCTTTTAGGCACCCGTCAATTATATTTATTGATGAGCTGGATGCACTTTGCCCTAAGAGAGAAGGGGCTCAGAATGAAGTGGAAAAAAGAGTTGTAGCTTCACTGTTAACACTGATGGATGGCATTGGTTCAGTAAGTACAGAACTAATGCTGATTCTTTATAGGAAAATTTTGATTCCTAGTAATACATATCTAGTAGCAGAGTTATTGAATATTTTTAAGTCTTTGGGTATTCTAGGATAAGGAAACAATGTTAGCCATAGAAACTAGAGGAAAGACTCATAAAATAATTTTCTTCAGCAGATTACTTAGTAACTGTTAGGACAACATATGGCGTGTTTGTCCAGACTATAAAATGATATACCATGATGGATTTCTTTAGTGATAAATGATATTAACTTAAAGATTTGCAAGGAAGATTCAATAAATAAATTTTAGGGGACATTACTAGAAGTTATGAGTAAGTCTTTTTACTCATTTAAGAATGGATTCTTTAGGGGTTTGTGCTAAGCAAATGAAAATAAAGTAAAAATGATAGAAAATGTGCAGTAAAAATTTATAGAGAATTTACCTACGTTTTTAGATTCTGGTAGGGTATACACACTTACATTAATAAAAACTGTATGCTAATTATGAAAGAGAGATCCATGGACTAATAGAGAATAAGAATGAAGAAAAATTCTCTTTAACAGTAAGAATACATTTCTTTTGGAGACTTACAGATAACTAAAGTTTTTAGAATTATAATAGGTGTTTTGGTTACCTAGTGCCACTCTGACAGGATTATACCACAGATGGGATGGCTTTAACAAACAGGAGTTTATTCTCTTATAGTCCTGGAGGCTAGAAGTCCAAGTTCCAGGTGCCAGGCTCTAGGGGATGAGTGAAAGCCTTTTGACCCTGGGCTTCAGCTCTGCCTTTTGTTCCCCGCCCACTGAAGCTGGGGGCATCTCTCTATTCAGGCAGCTGCTAGCTGCTGAGGCTGACAAACCCAAGATCAACAAGGGAAAAGGCACAGTTTGATGTTAACAAACCATACGGCAGGCCATTGATTCAAGTCCATTGAAAGTCCCAAGATCGTCCGAACACGGCAGGCTGCATGCAGGGTTCAAGTGTGCCATTCAGCTGGAGACCATTCCCAAAGCTGCTTCTTATATACTGGAAGCAGCCACGTCCATAAAGCAACTACTCAGCTCCTCTTGTAGATTCCACCACGGAGTGAATTACCAGTCTCACAATGGGTAATAACTGCATCCAGCTGCCTAGCCACTGAACCATGACCAGCCAAGTTGACACGTAACCTTAACCACCAAAATAGGTTAGATGCTAAAGAATTCTTAGAAATCATATAGTCCCAACCCCAATTGCACATTAAAAAACTGGGCAATTAGAACCATCTTATTTTTACTGGCTTTTACTACAAACTGAGCATGTGAAAATAACACGAAGGTTTGATGATGAGTCTTTTATTTGCTACCATATGTTATATGTAATTTTAAGAATCATAAAAGAAAAGAGTTATCATCTAGGGAGGCTGGGTAACCAACTGATTATCAATCCTGGGACAGTTACCTAGATGTGATCATTGTATCCCAGGTTTGGTTTTTCAGCTAATAAAGGTGGAGAATTCAGTGTTGTTAATATGTTGGAGTTAAGGGACTTTGAGAACTGACCAATGATAATGCTCACAAGAGACTGATTTGTAAACCAGGATGCCAGTTTATCCATTCATAGTAAGAAAGAAATGTAACTGTTAAGCCAACCAAATAACTTTGTTTATGGATGACCATATTTTCACCCAGAAGGGAAAAATATATGGAGGAAATTATTTATATTATAATTAGAAGGGCCCTTAGTGAGTAGGGTATGAGATTGAAGGCTCTTCCTGACTAAGACTAGGAAGAAAGGCCTGTTGATCTTCAGAAAATTGGCCACTGATCAAGTTCAATTTGTAACTAATCATGGTGATAGCTCAGGACCGAAGCACCATTTCCTTCTGTGGTGCATAGAATCACCAAGAGTTGGGAGCTAGCAACAACAAATCGCTAAGTCAATCTGCTGCCTCTTTCTCCACCATTGGCAAAGGCTTGGTGAAGAACTGGTATTCTCACTTTTGGTCAGGGCTGGAAGCATGTGACATGTTTATTCTGAAAATGTTCATGGGCTTCTATTTGTTTATCTTTTTTCTGTTTGTCCTCTATTTGACCTTTAATGAGATGGAGTGACATAGTGGCTGCAACAATGGCCTCAAACATAGCAGTGATTATGAAGATGGTGCAGGACCAGGCAGTGTTTTGTGTTTTGTTCTGTTTTGTATAGGGTCGCTATGAGTCAGAAATGACTTGATGGCACCTAACAGCTCTGACAGCATAGTGGCTAAAGCATTTGACTGCTAACCGGAAGGCTGGCGGTTCAAACCCACCAGCCACTCCTCGGAAGGAAGGTTGGGCAATCCTACTTCCGTAGTGATACTGCCTCGGAAACCCAAGGAGGGGTTGCTATGAGTCAGGGCCGACTCGATGGCACATAACAACAACAACAACAACAAAACAGCAACAACAATAACATTTGTCCTTCCACACTTAAAATTTTTAGATTCAGTGTAGTCCATGCTTTTTCTCTTGGTACATCAAGTAAAACTGATTAGGTGTGAGTTTTCTTACTTATAATCTCTGTGAGATTATACTCAGGTTATCTTAATAGAATGTTGAATAATTTTTGCAGGTGGCTGGTCATGATTATGGTTTTTTATATTTTGATGTTCTAAGCAGAAGGTTGGCAGTTCAATCCCACCAGCTACTCCTTGGAAGGAAAGTTGGGCAATGTACTTCTGTAGAGATACCGCCTTGGAAACCCAAGGAGGAGTTGCTATGAGTCGGATCTGACTTGATGGCACATAAAAACAACAACAACAACAATTTCATTGTCAGAGAGTAAATTAAACTTTAGTTCGGAGTTAAAAATCCATATATATTTAAGAATAGCTGATATGTAGATGCATACTATGTTGTTGTTTATATTTTCAGGAACTTAAAAATTTAGCAAAATAAAAGAAAAAAGTTTACTTGTGAGAAAGATTTTTTAGACAAATTTCTAATGTAGCCTTATACTTTTTGAATAGTATTTTCTCTCAAGTAGGGGAAGAAACATGTATTAAAGCAACCGTAAGGCAGGATATTTTATGTTATCATTTATGAGGATGGTATAGTAATACAGTAAAAGTGAGACATCACTGACACTGACAGTGAGATGGAGAGGGAAGTATTGGAAAACTTTTTAGGGAAACATTTAGACTAAGCTTTGAAAAATGTGGATGGGTAGTACATAAGTGTAAGGAGTAAGATTTAGCAGTCTGGACATTTAGATCCATCCTCTACGAAGCCACCCCCCCTCCCTTTTTTTTTTTTTTTTTCTTTAACTTTTGGAGTAACATGTAATTTGTTTTCATTTCATTTTGTTAGGAAGGAAGTGAAGGACAAGTGTTGGTTCTTGGGGCCACTAATCGCCCTCATGCTTTAGATGCTGCACTCCGAAGACCTGGCCGATTTGATAAAGAGATTGAGATTGGCGTTCCTAATGCTGAGGACCGTTTGGATATCCTTCAGAAGCTGCTTCGCAGGGTACCCCATCTGCTCACTGAAGCTGAACTGCTACACCTGGCAAATAGTGCTCATGGATATGTTGGAGCAGATTTGAAAGCCTTGTGTAATGAAGCAGGTGAGTGTGATTTGCCATGATGACTTTATATTGTTGGGCTTAATAACTTCAGTTTGTTATTAATAATTTGTACCTTAGTTATTTTAAAAATGGAGATGGCTTTAATGTTTTTCTAATCACAAAATGTATAACCAAATAAAACCAAACCCATGGCCATCGAGTCGATACTCATTGAGAAAAATTCTGGCTGATTAAGAACACTTTGAAAAAGAAAATAAAAATTACTACTCTCAATCCTGCCTCCTAGTGGTAGCTGCTATTATAGGAAATGAATGAGTGGAGTGGTAATTACATGTTCCAGACTTTTTTGGAGTATATACACACATAGACACACACACACACACGAGCATGCATGTGCGTCTGCTTGCACATATACACATGTAAATTACCAGATGCATTGATGGTAGTGTTGAAGATGATTGTGTTTACTGATTTGATTTGCTATGGAAATTAGGGAGAAATGCTTATAGCAGGGTCAAAATTTTCCTTAAGGGAGAAGCTTTGTATTTGTTGAAATGCTGAAAAAGTGCTTAGTGAAACCTGAGAATTCTATGCCATAGAGTGTGTGCCACTGATAACATAGTTGAAAATGTTTAAGGGCTGTTTATTAATCAACAGACTCCTTGACTTTAAGAACTGCAGTATGGCATAAGTATAGTTAATTTAGAATTAACTAAATTTAATTAATTTATAATTAATTTAACTTAATTTATAATTTAATAATTATAATTTAATTTATAATTACATTTAATTAATTTATATATTTTTTAATTTAATCTATATAACTATTATAATTTAGAAGCTTTTAAGATCTTTTGATGTTTGCATAGTTCTTCAGTGTAATTTCAGCCATGTTATTGTTGTTTAGTGCCATTGAGTCGGCTCTGACTCATAGTGATGCTCCGTACAATAGTACGAAACATTGCCCAGTCAGTCCTGTGCCAGCCTCACAGTCTTTGCTATCCCTAAGCCCATCGCTGCAGCCACTGTGTCAGTCCATCTTGTTGAGGACCTTCCACTTTTTTGTTAACCATCCACTTCTCTAAGCATGATACCCTTCTCCAGGGAATGGTCCCTGCTGACAACATGACCAAAGTAGGTGAGACAAGGTCTGGCCATTCTTGCCTCCAAGGAGCATTCTGGCTGTACTTCTTCCAGGACAGATCTGTTGGTTCTTCTGGCAGTCCATGGTACTTTCAGTATTCTTCATCAATACCCCAACTCAAAAGCATCAACTCTTCTTTGATCTTCCTTATTCATTGTAGAGCTCTCACATGCATATGAGGCAATTGAAAATACCATGGCTTGGGTTAGGCACATCTTAGTCTTCAAAGAGATCTTAGATCTTTAGTATTTTAAAGAGGTCTTTTGCAGCAGATTTACCCAGTGTAATACAACGTCTGATTTCTTGACTGCTGCTTCCACTGGTGTTGATTGTGGAACCAAGTAATATGAAATCTTTGACAACTTTAGTCTTTTCTCCATTTATCGTGATGCTACTTATTGGTCCAGTTGTGAGGATTTTCATTTTTATGTTGAGGGGTCATCCATTCTGTAGACTGTGGTATTTAATCTTCATCAGGAAGTGCTTCAAGTCATCCTCACTTTCAGCAAGCAAAATTGTGTTGTCTGCATATAACAGGTTATTAATGAGTCTTCCTCCAATTGTGTTGCCACACTCATTTTCATATAGTCCAGCTTCTTAGATTATTTGTTCAGCATACAGATTGAATGTTGTTATGTGCTGTTGAGTTGGAACAGAAACATAGCGACCCCTCCTTGGGCTTCCAACGCAGTATCACTATGGAAGTAAATTGCCCCATCTTCCTTCCAAGAAGTGGCTGGTGGGTTTGAACTGCCAGCCTTCCGGTTAGCAGTCAAGGTACTAAGCTACCAGAGCTTCTACAGATTGAATTGTTGTTGTTGTAAGTGCCGTCGAGTTGTTTCCGACTCATAGCGACCCCATGCACAGCAGAACGAAACACTGCCCGATCCCGCGCCAGCCCCACAATCCCTGCTATACTTGAGCCCATCATTGC